TATGTCGTCATTTTCCTGAAACATAAGAATATAAGCATCTTTAACCTTGCTTTTTTTTCGAGCACACAGTTCTAAATGCCACTGATAGCTTTCATATGATACTTACTTGGCTCCACTGACACATTTATTTACAATTACGATTGTAAATGTTCTCGATTTCTCAGGGGAGTCAAGGAATTAATGCGAGAAAATACTTGCTTGAATTCCGTATGCAAGTCAAAGAATTTTTTGTGATAAAATAGTTGCTTAAATTCCAAATGAGAGTGAAGGAATTTATGCGAGAAAATACTTGCTTAAATTCCGTATTCAAGTCAAAGAATTTTTGGTGATAAAATAATTGCTTAAATTCCGTATGGAAGTGAAGGAATTTATGCGAGAAATTAGTTGCTTAAATTCTGTTATGAAATCATGTATTATTTTAAAATAAATATTTAATAAATAAAACACATAATGAATAAATTGCATAAAATTTTCCGTTATATAGAAACTTTTATTTGCATAAAGTGCTAATATATATATTCCCGATTTCTCATTGGTCGATTGCAATCCGTGCTAAATAAAGGTGCATACCACGGTCGCGAGTTTTCTTTCAGGTGCGCGAAAGMGAGAAAATTGTTAACCATAATTGTCGATTAAAAAAATAATTGTCAATTTGATCTCACTTTTGTTTTGTTCATAGCACGCGCATGAATTTTATTGGTAAAAACAATTCATGATAGTTTCTAGTGGTGTGTCCTTTTATTTACCACGACTGGCGCCAATTGTTATTTACCTGTACTCGATTTCTGTAACGCTGATCATGGTGAAGTTAATAACAGGACATACCACGAGAAATTTTCATAAATTATGAAATTACCATAAATATCCTCTGCAGTTTCTCATTTACCTTAAATGGGCACCCAGCRTAATAGAATTTACATGGTTTTTCWGATTCAGAACATTCCCTTTCAAGGTGGTGTTGCATATCTTCTCGAGCAATGTTGCTGGTGCCACAGCGTTCACAGGTCATGGGGAATTTGTCGCATGTGTGCAAATGTGACTGAAAAGATGGGAAACAAAAACACTGATGATAGTGATCCATCTCAAAACCTTTCAAATAGTGTAAGTAGGTGGTGGTGTTTCCTTGGACTATATTTTGGAAAGGAGCATTACAAAACCAACAATAGCACATGCGTAGAAGCAATGGTTCCGAATCCACTATTATCATCATTTTTTTAAAACGTCGATCACAAATAATCCTAAGACACCATGCAGAAATCGATGTTCCGATAATCCGACACCTGAACGAAAAATACAGTAAACAACCACTAGTTTCTTCCTTCGTAAAGAAGCTTGCGGCAGCAGCAATATTTACAGTACATCCCATTATCTCAATAGATGAAAGTACATCTTTCTTTTAACAATGTTAGAGCGGATTTCGTATGAGTGGGAAACGGACGGTACTGTACTGTGACTGTAATCGTACTGTAACCAAATCTCCAGTGGCCCATTTTTTACCAAAAGTGTGAAGGCCAGGTCCGGTGACTGTGCGGTAACGGTGTCCCACTCATACGAAGTGCGGTAACGGTGTCCCACTCATACGAAATCCGCTCTATCAGCAATGCTGTTAGAAAGTAACAAACAAAGTTTTCTGTAGCAGCATTATTCACAGTAGATCTCATTTTCTGAATAGATAAAAGCACATCATTCTTGTAACAATGTTATCAGCAATGCTGTTAGAGTGTCACAAAGTTTGCTTTGGAAGCATTATTCACAGTAGATCTCATTATTTCAACAGACGAAAGCATCTCTCTTTTTAATGAACAATGTTATCAGCAAAGCTGTTAGAATGTCACAAACCTCCATGTGTACTTCCGGCACAAGTTGTCCGCAATGTTGGCATCGTGATGGTTTGAATCTGCATGTCTCATTTTTATGGTGCTCTAGTTTGTTCTTAGGTACCATTTCTTCACAGCCAGGATTAGTACATTTGACCTCTCGGAATTCACACTTTGATAAATGTTCCTGTGTGCGGTATAGACCTTGTTAACATTCAACAAAATTCTAATGTAAGCGTGATTTTCACTGGCGCATGTATGAGGAGCAAAATAACGAAATAAGAAATATTATGAGTTATTTCAACGTTTCAACCCATGTAAGGTAAACCGGAACTATTCTTATTCCTTCGAATTTTTCACGGCAGGGCAGGGCAGCGCTCTTATGTCGCAAGTGAAAACCAAGCTTTGAGAGCAAATATACATTATCAGCAAATCAATGAAATAATAAAACTCCAGCTAGAGCATGTGCATTCACAAATGAATTTAAGTACGAATTTGCACCAATGATACAGCAGCTTAATGACTGCAAATTACAAATACCGTTCATATGGCAACCTGGTCATTTTTCTGTTTCACAGTTTTTTGGGATTCTATATGTGGGCGTATGATGACGTAGTTTGTTTACATCCAAAATATAAAATTCAAAAAATAAGCAATCTGAACTCATACAAAACTTGAAAATTTGAGGGCAAACGCCTTTTTACATTTCGAGATATCGGCATTTCAAAACTGCAAAATCTATAGAAAACATTCAGTGTTTGGCAAAATAATACCAAGGCATGGTCATTTCTTTAGAAAATCTTGCAAATTCGGCGCTTGATATCTCTTGAAATATTTAACCAAYTGCCTTCRAATTTKCAGGAATTKYTAACAGGTATGAGTTMTTTTYATTTATGGGCTTGATTTTCTTGTGTCTTGAAATCCGATTTCGGACTTTTATGCAAATTAGCTAAAACGTAAACATTGGCGCCCACCTATACAAATCCATTGTTAAACTACCATCATTAAAAATCAGAATGCAATGGGCTTAGATATTAGTATGAAAGAAATAGTTAATAATTACATCTTATTATATTACAATGCTATTAGATATTTATATATAATCACAGCCTAACGAGTAGGAGGAGCCGACGGGTCCCTGGGAGAAATATATCTGTTTCTCTCCGAGCCAGCTGTAAGTTACAAATGGTTGCCAGCGAGAATTTCAGGAAAAAAGAACTCTCCAGGCAAGGAATAATTTCTAAGAATTTTTGGCAGGAAAATAAAAATTTCCTAACTAAAAAAAAATATAAGCCGTTTTTAATCATAAAAACGTTATGTAAGCCTTGGAACAAAATTATTTTAAAGAAGAAAGGGCGCCACATTTGCTTGTTAGATTGTCAACAATGTAGCTCAACTTTCCCAGGACGAAATTCGTACAAGAGCAGTTATTATTTAGAAGAAAAGAACCTGTCGGCTCCTTCTGTAACGAGTTCAGTTTCATAGTACACTTCTGTGTCCTGACGGAAAAACTATTACATACACTGGGGTACTTACATTGACGACAGTGGTATTCAAAAGCCAACAATAATGTCTAGATTGATTCAGACTTATTAATAATTTAAGGTAAGTAACCAACAATGGATAAAATGTTTCTTGGAGTTCACTTTAATCATACAACAAAATCTTCATTAACAATATGATCTGCATAGCATAGACTTTGAAACTAAGTCCAAGAGGTACCCTCATGTTCTCCTGCACTCTTGCAATCAACAGGATTCCCAGTCATGATAACAAGGTTTCTAAACTAAAAACACTACACTTGGAAGGAACTCATTGATTGCATTCCAAAGCAAAGTCAGTTTTTTTGTCACTTTGCTGCATTGTTAAAATAAAACGCATATCGACTGTATAATAACAGCTGACTCTATACGACATAGTGCTCAAACAACATTCCCTTCATGAGACAACAAAGCTGTGTTTTGAATCTCATTCATTGAGTATTTGCTAACAGATAAAGGTTCATTCAATTGAACAATTCAATACACTCTTGACATACCATAGATCCTGAATTACTCTACAAGAATCACGTATCAACAAGTATTTGTGTTACTAAAGCCACAAGTTTTATTTTCTTGCTGCACTTGTCTTCTTGGGACACGAAGAACATGCAAAATAACACAATCAATATTTATTGTTATCAATATATCTTGTTATCAATATTGACAAGACATAGAACACAATCTAAAGTGTTGGTTTGCAAAAGAAGGTTATTCAGACAGTTTAGCTATCTCGCTGTTGCTTCTCTATCTTCCACCATGTACTACTTTTTTAACTTAACAGTTTTTGGGATTGGAGGTTCAACACTGAAATGGTTTCAGTCATATCTTGAAAATAGAACATTTTTTGTGTATGTTGAAGGGGGCAAGTCTTCACTTCGCTCATTTGATTGTGGTGTTCCTCAAGGGTCTGTTCTGGGACCAATCTTATTTCTCCTTTACACTTCTCCGATAGTCGATATTATTCTTTCTCATGGTCTACTCATCGTTCTCCCGCTTCTGTTCATTCTTTTAATATATCTGGCTTTGATGTTGCTCCTTCTACCTCTGTTCGTAACATTGCTGTATTTCTTGATTCGAATCTCTCGACTCTCATATAACATCTGTTTGTAAAGCATGTTTTCACCTTTGTTCATGCGTTTGTCTTTTCAAAGCTCGATTTTTGTCATTCTTTGCTGTATGGTCTTCTCTTAAATTCTATTCGTAAACTTCAGCTTGTACAAAATGCTGCAGCAAGACTTGTCACTTACTCTCGAAAGCAGGAGCACATAACACCTATTTTGAAATACCTTCACTGGTTACCTGTGCAACAACGGATTCAGTACAAAATTCTTATTATTACTTTTAAATCTTTACATAGGCTAGCTCCTTCCTATCTAATCCTTTACTGACTCCTTGCACTCCTGCTCGTTCTCTGAGATCTTCTTCGTCTAATCTTTTGCAAGTGTCTTCTTTTAAACTCAAAACATGGAATAAGATCCTTTTCAGTCGCTGCTCCTTTTTTATGGAATTCCCTCCCACATAATATTAGAACTATTTCATCTATAAACATTTTTAAAAAGCACTTAAAAACATACCTTTTTAAATTAGCTTATTCTTAAATTAATCTAGAATTAGTTTGTGTGTAATTTTATTGATGTATGCATGAATTGTTATATTGTGTGAAAAAAAGTGAAATATCGTGTTTTAAAATGTTAAATTTTTTGTAAAGCGCCGATGAGCTCTAGGATAATTATTATCATTATTATTACTTTTGATATTTTCTCTTGAACAATTCCAGAGGCTTCTCCTATCCTTACCAGAGGGCATATTTTCTTCTATTTTCTAAGTCCCCTCCAAAACTTCTTTTGTGCCCAGCTGTCATTGTTTACACATGTATTTTGAACCTTGGATGCTTCATTGCTATTCGTATCTTGCTTTTCTTATCTGCTATTGATGTACATTTTCACAGATGGATATAATCAGCGCAGTATTTCTTAGCTGGTGATACTGATTGCTTGGTATTGTTTTACACCATTACAAATTAAAAGCATTTTAGCACTGCATTTCAGTGTCTTCATCACTGAGCATTTTTTTATCCTTTTAGCTTGCAGTATTTATGCTGTCATTCAGTTTCATTCTTCTGTAACTGCAACATTCAGCTATGATAGTAATTTCACAAGCTACAAATCAATGCAGTTGCATGTTTACAATGCTTTTTACTGACAGGTTTTTTAAGGCAACCTTATAGCCACTTTTTGCATTTTGTCAGTATGTTGTTGTCTTTAATTCTTACATGAGTTGAATTGATCACAAATCGTCATGTTTTCATTGCTCCATTTCTCCAATTCTTTAAACTCCTCTTGAATCAGGTACATTGATTTCAAATCGTCATGTTTTCATTGCTCCATTTCTCCAATTGTTTAAACTCCTCTTGAATCA